GATTTTATTTATTTATTTGTCAGAGAGAGAGAGAGCACAGGCAGACAGAGTGGCAAGCAGAGGCAAAGGCAGAGGGAGAAGCAGGCTCCCTGCTGGCAAGGAGCCCCATGTGGGACTCAATCCCAGGAAGCTGGGATCATGACCTGAGCCGAAGGCAGATGCTTAACCAACTGAGCCACCCATGCATCCCTAGATTTCATTTTTTAGAACAGATTTAGTTTTACAGAAAGATTGAGAAGATGATACAGAGAGTTACCATATACACTACATCCAGTTTCTCTTGATATCGGACGTGAGTATGATAACATGCGTGCATGAGTACACATTCATGACAATTAATGGTATTGTCATTATCACTGAGGTCTGTGCTTTATTCAGATCTCAGGGTTGTTTTTTTTTTTTAAGATTTTATTTATTTATTTGACAGAGATCACAAGCAGGCAGAGAGGCAGGCAGAGAGAGGGGGAAGCAGGTTCCCCGCCAAGCAGAGAGCCCGATGCGGGGCTCGATCCCAGGACCCTGAGATCATGACCTGAGCCAAAGGCAGAGGCTTAACCCACTGAGCCACCCAGGTGCCCCTCAGATCTCAGTTTTCAGGTAACACCCATTTTGTGTTCCAGGAGGCTATCCGGGATACAAAATTTCATTTAGTTGTCCTGTCTCTTTAGGTTTTTGTTGGCTGTGACAGTTTCTCAGAATTTCCTTGGTTTTGGGGGTGCCTGGGTGGCTTAGTCAGTTAAGTGTCCGCCGCTTGATTTCAGCTCAGGTTGTGATCTCAGGGTTGTGGGACGGAGCCCTGCGTTGGGCTTGCTCTGTTCATGAGATTGTCTCTCTGCCCCTCCCCCCTCCAAAAAGAAGAAAAGAAAGAAAAGAATTTCCTCGGTTTTCATGACTTTGACAGTTTGGAGGTGTACTGGTCAGTTATTTTGTAGAATGTCCCTGTGTTGGAACTTGCCTGGTGTTTTTCTCACGGTTATATTGGGGTTATGCGTTTTCAGGAGGAAAACCACAGGAGTGAAGTGTCATTTTCATCGCATCATATCACACACCTGTGATTTACTTCTGCTGGTGTTGACCTCACCCAGCGGAGGCAGTGTTTGCCAGGTGTCTCCACCCGCAAAGTTAGTCTTTTCCCCTCTCTTCCATCCTGTGCTCTTTGGAAAGGAGTCACCAAGGGGGCAGCTCATACAGGGGAGTGGGGAGTTGGGCTTCACCCCCTCGAGAGTGCAGCATCTATACCAGAGTACAGCATCTACACACAAATTATTTGGAATTCTTCTGCATAGGAAATTTGTCTTTTCTCCCTCGCTTATTTATTTAAGTCCTTTTAAAAAAATTTTAAGTCCTTTTTATCTGTATGGACTCATGGGTATTTATTTTATGTTTGGGGTAATAATTTCATACTTCCTCATTTCGATGTCCCTTTGGCATACCCATGTCAGTGTGGGGGGTGTGTGTGTGTGTGTTCGTTTTTGAGCATTTCCTTACTTTCTGGCACCATGAGACACATACTCCAGGCCTATCTTGTATATCTCCTGCTCCAGTCGTAGATTGAACCATTTTCCAGGAGCCCAGGAGATGGCTATTTTCATTATAAGGTGATTACTCACCTTCTATAAGGATAAAGGCATTGGTGCATGCAAGTTATTTTATATAATTTGATTGACAATCTTCGGGAACATGCCTTTTGCTAGACTCAGCTATTTTAAAAACTGTGTCTGGCTTTTTAAAAATTTCCAGTGAGGCTTCATTCTCGCCAGAATATGAAAAGCCATTCTAAGAAGTGTCTTTATCTCCATCCTCATCATGAAAGGAGGTCATTGGCGATATTGCAGGGTGTTATAAGGATTTTGTGGCAAAGCCTGACACGGTGGAAAGAGCTCCAGACTGAGACTGGAGACTGGGTTTAGTCCAGATGTTTCCTCTGCACCCATGTGCACTTGGTCAGGCATCACTGTGCTCTTTGGGCCTCATCTATAAAAAGAGGTGAGTGGCTGAGCTCATTTATAAGGTTCTATTCAGCTCTAAAGCACCGTGCTATTAACGGCACTGGCTTTGAGGAATTCAGGGTGGGGGATGTGGGCAGGAATGGGGTGTGAAAGGGGAAGCTGTGACTCCAGGATGAAGAGGCAGATCAGTGATAAAAATGTCACATTTTAGCGTTAGCTAGTGAGCTCCAGGTAAGCAGTGTCATTAGCCATCGTATTAAATATTAATGATGATATTAAAGTCTTCATCTAGATTTTAATGTAACCTGCACTTGCCGCTCTAGATCCCTGGCTGAGTGTGCTTTAGGGTTGTGGTGCTCAAACTTGGCCGCACATTGGAATCACCCGGAACGCATTCAAAAGTTCCGTTGCCCGGGTTCCAATGTCAGAGATTCTGAAATAGGTGGTTTGGGGTACAGCCGAGGCATCAGCAGTTTTAAGTTCTTCTCTCCCTGTCCTCCCTTCCATTCTAATGACACCAAGTTTGGGAAGGATAGGCTCTGGATATTCTTGTTCCTCTCCCATATAACATACAGGTGTCCTTAAGGGCAGGGACCGTATCTTACTCATCTCTGCGGTCCTCAGAGTACCTTGTGCATAGCTGCTGAGGAACGGAATTTGGACAGTGTATTAGTTTCCTCTTGGAACTGTAACAACTTACAACAAGCTTCGTAGCTTACCAGGACACAAATTCATTTTCTTACGTTCTGAGGGTCAGAATTCCCAGATGGGTCTCACTGGGTAAGATTAAAATATCAGCAGGGCTGATCCCTTCTGGAGGTTCCAGAGAACCTATTTCCTGCCTTTCTCTGCCTTCAGAGGCTGTCCATCTTCCTTGGCTCCTGGCACCACACCACTCCAACCTCTGCTTCCACTGTCATGCCGATCTCCTTCTCTGACTCAAACCTTCTTGCCTCCCTCTTCTAAGGCCCTCCAGGATAATCTCCCCGTCTCAAGACCCTTCATCACATTTGCACAGCCCCCGTGGCCATGGAAGGAGACATAGTCACAGGTTCCAGGAATTAGGACAGGACATCTTTTGCGGGGGACACTAGTCTACCTACCACAGATAAAGACAGAGCGACCGCTGTAATTACAGGCTCCACATGGAACTAAGTCATTGTGTTCTGTGGCATCTCTTTACTTTCTCTTTCTTGTTTTAGCTGTGTTAGGATTTAATCAGAGACCATCTCTGTGGAAAGTTACACATCCTGGTAGAAACTTAACATGTTGCAAAAACAGTGAGGAGCCTGGGGAAAAAAAAAGAGAAATAAAGAGCAGATACATATCTTTCAGTGATTCAGTAAAAGAATATTCAGAACCATTAATTGGCTGTGAGGAGTTTTAAAAGGCAGGCCGAGATGCTCAGTCACTCTGGCAAAGGGCTGTGCCTGCAGGCCTTGGGGTGGCTGGGACCTCTGCCGTGTGGTTTCCTCACCTCCCACCCACTCTGCCTTGCTCCTTGCTCCACTTGCTGGGGGACAGCAAGCCAGCCGGCACCCCCAGCCCCACTCCCAGCTCTGCCAGCTGCTCCCTCTCTCCTGCACAAAGAGCATAAGGGCCAGCATATAACACATCTAGTCCTGAGTCTGAGGCAGTGTCAAATGATTGAGGGGGGCAAAGCTGTGTATCTAGCCAGAGAAGAGTCCGGAAAGATATGGTTTTAGATAAGGGTTTCCATTTACTGCTAAATGCACCTGAAGGCAGAGGCCACAAAGGAAAAATATCTTTCTGCTGAGGGGCTACTCTGACCCTATTACCTCTCTAGGGGACCTATTCCCTTCTCCCACCGAAGCCCCAAGATGGCTCTTTCCAGCTGGTCTCTGTCTTGTAGGACAGTGGAGTCTAGCCAGCCATCTCCTTCCCCACTGAGTTGGTCAAGTCCCTGCTGCTGAGAACTCCCTCCAGCCAGAGCTTGGTCCCAGCGATTGCCATGGTGACAGCCAGCTGCTGCTTAGCACCAGCCTGGGGACTGGGCACAAAGAAAGAGTGGCCAAGAGATGGGCACCCTGGGCTGCCCTGCACTCCTGGAGGCCTGGCGGGTGGGTGGGAGTAGGGGCAGGAAAGGCCCCTTTGGGGATTGCTGGTAGTCTCTGAGGGGTTTGTTCTCTCAGGGAGGAGCTGGGAAGTTTGAAGCGTCTAAACTCTTTTGCTCCACGCTGGGATCCAGGTTTACAAAGACAAAGCCTCCTTTGCCAAGGCAATTTGGTATTTTACACACATGCATTCGTGCATGTATCCGTTCACATTGAGATGCACTTGCTTTCTTGCATTTGACACCATTTTGACCCCCAAGAGAGTTAGAGACCTGGGAGTTTACATCTACTCAGGCCTGTTTCAGCTTTAACACCTGCCCATTGGGGGTGCCCAGGTGGCTCATTCAGTTAGGCATCTGCCTTTGGCTCAGGTCATGAACCCAAAGCCTACTTTTCCCTCTCCCTCTCCACCCCCATGCTCTTTCTTGCATGCACGCATGCACTCTCTCTTTCAAATAAATAAATAAAAATTTTTCAAAAACCCTTCCCTTTGATGTAGTTGAATTCAAATTCAAAACTTGCAACCCTGGACAAGTTAACTATTAGTAATGATAGATAATATTTATTGTCAGGCATTGTGTTAAATGCTTTCCATGCGTTATCTAATTTCACAGTAGTTTTATGAGATGTAGTTATTTTAAAAATCCCATCTTCACACTAAAACTGAAGCTTAGAGATTTGTTTATCAGAGGCCCAGGTTTCACTGGCTCCAAAGCCCACATTCTTACCCACTGTTAATAACCTTGAATTGCCTTAATTTCCTCATCTGTAAAATGGGGGAAAGAGCTGGCTCACAAGATAACTGTGTTGTGGGATCAAATGAGATTATCTTGGTAAAAGCTTTTCTTGGAGACAAAGCAGACAGATGCTATCAACTGTATCTCTTGGGGGGACAGAGATGCTCATCTCTGGCTCCTAGGAAAGTCATCTTCCTCAAGGTAATTTACGAGGGGCTCTCTGGTTTCCAAAATCTCAGGGTCTGCCTCCTTCCCTGTGTCCGCAGGTGATTTCCATGGTGATGGTGGCCGTGGGAGTTTATGCTCGGCTGATGAAGCATGCAGGTGAGCTATAGGCCCCCTCCAACTCCCCAAGATTCTTGCCAAGCCCCTTCCTTCTCTGCCTCCTTCAGCCTGGCCCTTTAATATGCTTTCCCATGTAAGCTGCCTTCTAGCCCAATCTTAACCCCCTACTCCAAGGCATCAGGCCAGCCATGCTGGTTCACCAGGATTTCCCTGAGCTCCCACGAATCTTCCAGGATGTGCCTGCATGTTAGGCTTGGAAAGGGTCCAGGAAAGGAGGTAGGCCTCTGGGAGCAGGGAGTAATCAGAGGCCTCAGCCCCTCCCTCTCTCTGTCCTGAAGTAACTCAACCCCCATTCCTGTTCTACTGCACGAAGTCTCCGGGAAACGGAATCTGCAAAACTGGGAGCCTAATGCCATTCTAATTCTTTTCTGGAGCGGAAGTGGTTCCTCCTCTCTTAATCTTGGGAATAAAGGCTCTCACTTTGTTAGTTCCTCAAATGAAATGTCACAAACCCTTCTAGGCCCTTTTTATTCTCCCCATGGGAGGGGAGTACTGCTTCCCTATAACCGTCATCTAACCCTACTAGAGATTCCCCCAGCAGAGGAGAACAGTTTTGGGGGAGACCCCTACCTTGTCCCTGGGTATTACTCTCAGCCAGCCCCAGACTCAGACTGAGAGACAACCCCTCCTCCAGAAGCAGCCTTGGCTTGCCTGGCAGTGGACCCTGCCATTCTGCTGATTGTGGTGGGCGTTCTCATGTTCCTGCTCACCTTCTGCGGCTGCATTGGATCCCTTCGTGAGAATATCTGCCTCCTACAGACGGTGAGTGATCAGTGTCCCCACCATAAAGACCCTGGCCTCCTCCCTATGCCTCCCAGGCTCCTGATGCCATTCCTACAGCCTTTCAGTTTTCTCTGTCCCCCTCTCCAAAGGCCTGTACTGTCTGCTCCCCACTATAGAGCTCAGCCCAGATGACCCAGCACATGATGGTCACCCTTAAGACAGCATGGTGGAGGCAGAGGCCTTTATCATGCATGGGGCATCTGGGAGAAGTGCCCCACAGCCCCCCAGTATCCAGTATTCCCCATGGCCCTGGGGGAGGGGCTGGAGCTCAGCATGGTAATCAGCTGTCTCCTTTTCCTGCCTGCTCCCCACAGTTCTCCCTCTGCCTCACCATCGTGTTCCTGCTACAGCTGGCTGCAGGGGTCCTGGGCTTCGTCTTCTCAGACAAGGTAATGTTGGGGGTCAAGGGGCCTCCTCAGGTGTGAACCAGAGGGAGGAAGAGAAGGTTCCTGCCTATACTTAGCCTGATTAATTAACCACAGTGCTCTGTCCCCTGAGAGGCATCAGCCTTTGAAAGATTCTCCTTAGGGGTGAACGAATGGCCTTTAAAGTCACCATATTTAAGCAGGATTTCCAGATCATAAGGTGTTTTCCTCTGACAGTCTCAGAAGCCAACAGGAAAACAAATTCTATGAACACAAAGTTAAAATAATCTGCAAACTTTAATGGCAAATTATTGGATAAAACACAATTATCAAGTAGACCATAGACAATATGAAGAATCTTTTATTTCCTCTAAACATTGCTTATTGGGATAAACAGAAGGAAAGAAGAGGGAAAGTAAACGAGATTTTGAGCAGTGCTCACCATAGCTGGAAGTGATCTGCTATTTAGGGACAGTCCTTTTAGTTAAGAACAAAACTTCCTTTCTCAAAGGGCAAATGATTGCCAGGGATAGTACTGGACTATAGACAACAAACTTTGAGAAAAGTAGCAGAGGAAGAAGGAAGAAAGCATGGTGGAAACTATGAAATGGGGAGCCACTGAGTTCATTCAGAATGTCCTAGTCCTTCTGGCTTAGTAAAATCCTAAAATGATTTGTTTGGAGTCTAAATAGATGCTATTCTCTTCTGTCCACTAGAGGTCAGTGTCTCAGCTTTAGAAGCACTTTACTACTAAAATATGTCTGTATTAGATTCTCTGCTTTGCATCAATAAGTATTTTGTGGTAATAGTGTTCAGAGGTAAATAAATCTTGGATTATCTCAAAATGTGGCTCTGAGAAGAGGGAGCAGCAGGTCCTGTGTTTGTTCTCTTGCCTCCTGGTACCTGAGGGCCCAGGGATGGATGGGCTTTGGAACTGGCCATCAACCTAGGACCTGGTTCTGATTTCAAGGCTGACTTAAATGAAAAAGGATGATCACTATCTACTGTTATTCCTGACTAGAGAAAAGGGTTAGGGATTAGTCCCATGTTCTGATTCACTACCCATGTCTCTGGCAGGCACGAGGGAAAGTGAGTGAGATCATCAATAACGCCATTGTGCACTACCGAGATGACTTGGATCTACAGAACCTCATTGATTTTGGCCAGAAGAAGGTATGGGTGAGGAATGGGGGGAGGTCATCTGTGGTCTCAGAGGCTGTAGGCAAAAGTTAATACCATCCTAATACGCACCTCACCCTCCAGGCCTAAGTGCTTCCTCATTACCTGCCAGGTAATGGATTCTGGAAGGAGGTTTGGCAAAAAACCATACATAGCAGAGTGCTTTAAAAGTACTTTTAAGAGAACAGAGCAGTAGTGTATATAGTAATCTACCATGTGTGTAAAAAAAGAGAGAGGAAAGAATATGTATTCATATTTACGAAAGGAATCTATAAGGATATGTAGAAACTATTCTAAGTGGTTACTTATGGGGGGGATAAGGAAATGGGCATATTTTAAATATTACCTATTCAAAAGTTAACTTTTTAAAATTGTGCCAAAATGTACATAACATAAAATTTACCATTTTAACCTTTTTAAGTATATAAATCTGTGGCACCAAGGACCTTTACATTGTTTACATCCGTCACCACATCCCTCTCCAGAACTTTTTCATCTTCCCCAAACGAAGCTCTACCCATTAACCACTAACTCCCCATTTCCCCCTGCCCCAACTCCCGACAACCACCATCTCTTTTCTGTCTCAATTTGACCACTCGAGGCACCTCATATGAGTGGAGTCGTACAGTCTTTGTCCTGTTGTGACTGGCTTATCTCACTTAGCATGTTTCCAGATTTCATCCATGTTGTATGACATGTTAGTTTCCTTCTTTTAAGGCTGAATAACCTTCTGTTGTATGTATCTACCACGTTTTGTTAATTCATCCATCTTTTGATGCACACTTGGGTCACTTGCACCGTGTAGCTATTGTGAATCATGCTGCTATGAATCAAAAGTTGAATTTTAAATAAAAGTGCTTTTGAGATCAGTACGGAGTTCCCCTTCCCTTGGTGCAACTTACTTGGATCCTACGTGCTTTCAAGGAGTAATTATGGGCCCATGATATTGAAGACTCTCTTCTGTTTTCTCTGTATTCAAAGAAATATTTTTAACAGTAATCCTTTAATTATTTCAGCCAATGTTTTTGAAACACTCCCTTTTGCAGTCTCTATCCTGTGCAGAAACTGCTCTCAAGGAGCTCCTAGTTGAATGCTGTATGATGACCATACAACTATGGTCGTCATAACAAGGCATATAAAGGGAAAGGCCACTGAGAAATGTGGGCTCAAGGTTTAAAAACAACCTGAATTTATAAACGGAAGCTGGCCACGGACTTTCAGCTGCTCTGAGGACTGGGTGATTCTTAACCTCTGTGGTGGGTTTTGTTGCAGTTCAGCTGCTGTGGAGGGATTTCCTATAGGGACTGGTCCCAGAACATGTACTTCAACTGTTCAGAAGACAACCCCAGCCGTGAGCGCTGCTCTGTGCCTTACTCCTGTTGCTTGCCTACCCCGAACCAGGTGAGCCTACATCCCACGTCATTTCCTCCTGGGCAGCAATTTCAGTTACTTGCGGACTAGGGTAGCCACTGTGGGGAATCCCCACTCCCTAGCTTAACCAATCAATCTTGTAGGACAGCTGCCAGATGTTTCTTTTCACCCCAATCTAATGGCTCTGTTTCCTTTTCCCTCCTGTGGTCCACACGGGGACTCAGAAGGTGCAGGTCTCTAAAGCAAGAGAACTGAACTCAGATCTCCCAGAGGAAAGGAAGCATGCATTTAGCAACTCCCAAGTTAGGATCCTTCACATATATTCCCCACCAATTTAGGAATTTAGGAAGGGTGGGAAGACCATTGGCGAGGGCCTGAAATTAAAAGTTTGGGAGTGGGAGTTCCATTTGGCTTTTCAACTCTTTCCCCAGGCAGTGATCAACACCATGTGTGGCCAAGGTATGCAGGCCCTTGACTACTTGGAGGCTAGTAACGTCATCTATACCAATGGCTGTATTGACAAACTGGTCAACTGGATACACAGCAACCTCTTCCTTCTTGGTGGTGTAGCCCTGGGCCTGGCCATCCCCCAGGTAACTTACCCCGTAAGACTCGTGGGTCCTACAGCCCCGCAAAGACTCCTTTGTTTTGGGGAGGGCACCTGGAGACCAGCTAGGGTGTCAGGCACTGACATTGCTAAGAAGCAGGGGATTGGGATGGTGCTAAACATACTGGGAAGATTGATTCAGGGAAAACAAAGATACCACTCATTGCTGAGGGCCCAATCCGTCTCGCCTCTCCCAGCTGGTAGGAATCCTGCTGTCCCAGATCCTTGTGAATCAGATCAAAGATCAGATCAAGCTACAGTTGTACAACCAGCAGCACCGAGCTGACCCGTGGTACTGAGAATCCATCCTGCATGTCCTCACTATGGCGACAGGCGAGCGTCATCAACCAATAGCAGTGGGTAGAGCTCTCGGCACCAAATGGAGATTTGGATTCCAGTTCCCCAGCAACAGCCCAGTGGGGAGAAGCCAGCTCCAGCCCAGCAGAAGGCAGGGTGCACAGGTGGCTCAAGTCTAGGAAGGCTGTCCATCCTTCTCTCCTCCATCCTAGCCCTCAGCATTGTTAGAGTTATTTTGCATTATTTTTAACCATACACATTTGGGTTTATGGTTTTTGTTTTTGTTTTTTATTTTGTCTGGGCAGAGATGTTTGGGAAACATCAGTTGCACAGAGTCTTGGGGGTACTAGGTGTTGCTTTTCACTGAGGTGCTACAACCAGTGGTCCTACCAGGGCTGCTACTGAGCCTCCTGGACATAATCTGATTCCATCTGTTGCCAGCAAGACCTGGCTGGAGAGTGGACACTAACAGCCCTACCTGGAGTCCAGTTGGTATGATACCAGCTCCAGAAGGGAAGGGAGTGGAACAGGCAGTGAGCTGGGGGTCGACTGGGGACAGTTGTATGTGCTGGGTAGGAGTGGAAGGCGGTATGTTTACTAAATGCTGCCCTGCCATCCTCCCAGGTAGTCAAAGGGAACTACATCCTGCCCCTCCCTCATTTCCATGGAAACGTGGCAGCAAGGGCAAGGGGTACAAGAGCAGCCAAATTCATCCGTCTCCCCCACTCCACCCCTTTTTAAAATGTTTGGAACCACGGTCCTTATACTCTGCAGCCAGCAGAGGTGGGACTGAGCCATTTGTGTCCTTGACTTCCTCCCCTCTTGTCCTCCCTTTCCAGCAAGTGGGGTTTCTTTAACCTTGGCAGTACCCTGAGGAGGCACGATTAACATCCCTCTCCCCGCCCCCATTACCGTGCACCAAAGCTCAGTATTTCTACAGTGTTAGAAGCAGGGATCTTGTTGTGAGGCAGGGGAGCCAGAAGTGGCAATAAAAGTTTGTTGACCTGCGCTAAATTGGACTCCATGAATTTTCCATTCTGGCAACTAGAAGGGGAGGCATAGAAGGGCGCAGCGGGTGGGCCCTCCTTCCAGGTGGGGACTGGAGGCTCCCCAAAACATCACAACACCTCCCGGGCCCCATCACTCGCCCCATCTCCCTCAACCAGAGGCACTACTCCCCTCCCACAACCCTACCCTCTCTGGTCTGAATTAGGTCGAAAGGTTCCCAGTTCCGACCTGGGAATGGCGTAGTGTTATCCTAAAACCTGATGTTAACTTTTCCCCAAACTAAACTGAATTAAAATTGGCCACCCAAAACTTTGAGGACGGGAGTAGGTAAGAACACAGCTGGAAATCAGAGTCTAGCAGTCTCTGCTGGGACGGGGAGGGGAACGAGGAGGAAGAAGGCCGTCTCTTCACCCACTCCAGCTCCCTCCTCCATCTTTATCTGAAGGAGCTGGTACCGCTGCCCGCCGTACTTCAAGGAGTAAAAATTTCCCAGCCCGGCTCGGGGCTTGCTCACGCCGTGAGAAGCGTGCGCGGGCGGCTAGCCGGGAGGCCCGGCTGCCGCGTCGGGGGCGGGGCCGGGGCGGGGCTGCGCGGCGCTGTGTGTGGTCCCCGCCCCCGCGGCGGCAGGAGCCGGCGCCTCCGCCCCCCGCCGGGGTGGAGCTGGGAGCTGGGTTGCCAGGGGCTGCTTGCAGGCTCCCGGACGCACCTCTGCTGTTTGTGTTCCCCGAGGTCTCCTGGCTGCGCTCTGCTGTCGGGGGTCTCAGCCTAGGAGCTTTAGCCTGGCCGGAGAAAGACTCGAAAAAGTCCCTACCGCGGTGGGGAGACCGAGTCGCGAGTTCTCTCCCCGCCCCCAGTTTCTTCTAAAAGAGCCTTCTGCTCCTGGGAGGGCGCCTTTCCAGCAGCCGCCTGGGGCCCCTGCCAATGTTTAGCTCCAGCTAGTAACACAACTGAAAGAAAAAAAAATAATAAAATCATCACAAATAAAAAAATTAAAAGTAAGGGCCTTTTATTCTGAGAGAAGAGGAAAACGCGTTTTCTTTGTGTCCAAGATACATTTTATAAAGCATTTTTTACTTTTTCTTTTGGTGACGCGGACTGTCGTTTGGGTTAGGAGTTGGGGTGACGCACTTCCCCGGTTCACACCGGCTTGGACGAGCTCGATTGGCAAGAGGCTCATGTGGGGCCTCTTGGAATAGGGGAACGGGAATGGTGGTCCGCGGAACCAGGATTCAAATCCAGACTGCTTACCTGCAAACTATACTCTTACTTAGGTCTCATCGTATGTAGCCTCCTGGGCTTGAACAAAAGGGTCAGGAATTTCTGCCCAAGTCCCAGGCCTTAAAGGGCCTTTAGCAAAAGTTCAGAAGCTGATACTGCAGTTCATCGTTCCCAGCTAGATACATTTCTCAGTGTCTCTGGTTCTCAGTTTCTTAAGCCTTATTTCTATTTGGCCTGATGCTGGGAGAGAAAATGCCCCAATTTTAAAAATAGTTTCTCATTGGTATTTCACGTTTCATTTTAATTTGCTGCCTGGATTTTGGTTTCTAATAACCCTAGTCTCAAAGATATAGGCCCCAGAGGTGGGTGAATAGAAGAAAATTCTTGGGGTGGTGGAGATCAGACCAGATGGACGGACGTGGAGAGAAAGAAAATCTGGCTGGCGTGAGGTGGCAAGAACGGTACTGCTAGGTCTGTGGACTTCAAACCCAACTATGTAAACAGGGACTTTGAGTCCAAGAGTGCAAATTTTGCAGAATGTTCCATGAAATAATGATTGCCTCTGAATTTGTTTCCTATTGCTGCTGTAACAAATTACCTCACGTTTAAAACAATACAAATTTGTTATCTTACAGTTCTGGAAGTCAGAAATCTGAAATGGGTCTCACTGGGCTAAAATCAAGGCATCATCAGAGCTGAGTTCCTTCTGAGGGCCCTAGAGGATCCATTTATCAACTTCTAGAGGCTGTTTGTTTGTCTGGCCCCTGTTTTCATCTTTAGAATATATCAGCCTCTGCTTCTGTGGTCACACCTTCTTTTTCTCTGATTCTGACTCTCCTGTGTCCCTCTGATTATATTGAGCCTACGCAGGTTGTCCAGAATAATCTTCAATTTTAAGAGTCTTAATTGAAGCACATCTATAAAGTTCCTTTTCCTCTGTAAGGTAATAAACACGTAGGTTCCAGTAATGAAGGCATGGACATTTTGGGGTGGTCATTATTCAGCCTAGGACACTCACTTCCCACTCTCATGTATCTCTTAAGGTGGGGAAATCTAGGAATGAGCTATTGTTGGTTATTGGCAATAGCTTGAGGTGGGCGTTGTCTGGCCTTGGTTCTAAAAATCGCCTACCATTTATTGAGTGCTTACTGTGTGCTAGGCACATGTTTATTACAAGTTTAATATGTGGGTCCTTTAATATGCTATTTTCTGACATGTTCCCATCCCAAAGAGCAGATATGTTAACAGGGTCAGGGACCAGTTTCAAAAAGGGGACACAGAAAACTTTCTTCCTTCCTTCCTTCCTTCCTTCCTTCCTTCCTTCCTTTCTTTCTTTCTTTCTTTCTTTCGATTCCCCTGGAACCGGAAGAGTTCCCCTAGGCCATTACTCTAAAGAGGTCAGGAACATTTTGTAAACCGTACTCTCTCCTCACAAAAACAAGTTAAGACTAATTAGATATTCCAAACTGCCATAGATAAAACACTTAGAGAAGGGGATAAAGTGGGGAGTAACCAGACTCTAGAAATTATATTGGAAGTTAAGCCTCTAGAGTCTTCTCACCACCACACCAGGAACCTGGTAAATCAGTCAGATGATTGGAAGAGCATAGATACTCCAGAAGCATTTTCAACCATCAGTACTCACTGACTAATAAACACAGTGATGAGAGGAAGGGGTGATCACTAATAATGTCAGGACAAGTAGATTATGGTATGAGAAAGAAGTAACTGAGAGTCATCTGTCACACATACTAGTTGCATTCCAGAGAGTAAAATAATTAAAGCAAAACAAACAAACAAAAAAATGGAATATCATATTGATCCCAGCTGTCGGGAGCGAGAGTGGAGAGCTTTTCAGTGCACCAGCCGAGTTCACAGTGGTTCTTCCTTCTTTGGAAATTGGCTCCCTATCTCCCCCTCAAGCCATAGGGGTGAGTCTTAAGGAACCATATTTGTACTATAAGACATGGTCTTCCTGACAGAGCTAACTGGATCAGTTGTAGGCACTGCATTACTTTGCCAGGGCTACTGTAACAAAGAGCCACAAACTGGGTGGCTTAAAACAACAGAAACTTATCATTTCACAGTTCTGGAGGCCAGAAGTTTAAAATCAAGGGCTGGTAGGGCCATGCTCCTCCTGGCACCTCTAGGGGAGGATCTTCTCTTGCCTCCTCCAGCTTCCAGTTAAGCCTCCAGAGCTGTAGCCTTGCCTGGCATTCCTTGGATTGTGGCAGCTGAACTCCAACCTCTGCCTCCATCTTCATGTGGCAGTCTTCCCTCTGTGTCTGTGTCCCAATTTCCTCCTCTTCGTCTTTTTTTTTTTTTAAAGATTTTATTTATTTATTTGACAGAGAGAGAGCGAGATCACCAGTAGGCAGAGAGGCAGGCAGAGAGGGGGGTGGGGAGCAGGCTCCCCGCTGAGCAGAAAGCCTGATGCGGGGCTTGATCCCAGGAGCCTGGGATCATGACCTGAGCTGAAGGCAGAGGCTTAACCCACTGAGCCACCCAGGTGCCCCCCAGTTTCCTCTTCTTATAAAGACACCAATCCTGTTGGAATAAGGGCCCATCCTATTCCAGTATGACGTCATCTTAACTAATTACAACTGCAATGACCCTATTTCCAAGGGAAGTCACAATCTGAGGTACTGAGGGGGTTAGAAGGGAGGAACGAGAAACACTATTCAACCCGTAACAGGGTTCCTTCCCTGGGATTTGGAATTGAGAACAAGATTCTAGTCACAGCCTGAGCTGACTGGTCTGGTGAAGAAAGAGAAGCAAGTGGAAACTGGGGCTCAGCCTTCTTACACTTTATGCCGTAAGTAGCAGAGAAAGTCTATTTACGGAAAGAGAAAAATGAAACAGACGGGGGGTGGGAAGGCAGAGAAAAAAAAAGGGCAGAGGAAGGATGCTGCGGGTAGCTGCTTTCACTATGGTCCTACAACCTTTGTGCAGCTCCACTGCTGTCCAGTCTTGGGTTCCCAGAGACACTGAAGGCTTCCTGAAAAGCTTGGTTTGTTTGCTTAAGGAAACTCAACTTGCTTTCTGTTGCTTATAAGCAAAGCTAATAGAAAAGCTATAATCAGAATAAGATACCCTATTAGTTTTCCTTGCTGCTGTAACACCTTATCAAAAACTTAGTGCTTAAAACAACACAAATTTATTATCATATAGTTCTATAAATCAGAAACGTGGTATGGGTCTCACTGGGCTAAAATCAAAGTGCTGGGTGGCCTGCATTCCTTTCTGGAGGTTCCAGGGGAGAATCTCTTTCCTTGACTTCTCCGGCTTCTTGAAGGCCCTTCTTCCGTCTTTAAAGTCTGCAACACCATTTGTCCCGTTCACTACAGCCAGGAAAAGTTTTCTTCCTTTTAAGGGCTCCAGTGATTGGATTGGACCCACCTGCATAACATAAGCTAATCTCCCCCATGTCAGGGTCCTTAACTTTAATCACATCCATCTGCAAAAG